TAGCAAGGCACAGAGGAGGCAGCAGGAGCCTGAGCAAACACTTCCTCCCTCCATCAGCCCAGCCTCTGGGACTTTGAAGATGAAAGCACTGAGAATAAGTTTTGACAGGGGATGACTTACTCTGCCTGCACAGCGGCACAGGTTGATGCGCCTGCTGCACAAGGACATGTGATGTGGTGACTTCCCGAGGGCCAGTCACACAAAGCAGCCATCATAGCCTTTTTGACATGAAGGAGCCCTTGTGCTGTCTGTAGAATCCTTGTGTCACTCCAGGGAGCTCAGGATGTATGAGTAACTCCAGAGAGACTAAACTGGTTGCTCTTATGTCACCCCACACATTGCAAGATAATTGTAGCACTTGCCTAACCTGCTCAATAAGGAAAAGCAGTGACATGTGACATAGAGGTTTCAGGGAGCAGGCTGCTAATAGACCAGGGTTGACTTCCTTCTGCGTAACAACTTCCATGCTGAAGGGAATAAAAACTGAAGGTCTGCAGGAAACACCACTTCACTAGCTGTGGCAGTGCAGCTGCTCCTGGAGTGCTGTGAACAGTTATTTGACTGCACAGCACTGAGTTGCACAGGAGCGAAGGAACAACTTGATAAAGGCCTGCAAAATTTTGCATGGTGTAGAGAAATTATTCTCCCCTAATTCTAGAACTTGGCCTCTTCCTACAAAACCAGTTGGCAGTAAGTTCAAGCAAATGAACGGAAGGTCTGCTAATGGATGGTTGGCTTGTGGAACTCAGTCCCATGGCCATATGGTGATGACATCTGACTTAGATGGGTTTAAAAAGGGAATGGACAGATTTGTGGAGGATAGGTCTGTCACTGGCTATGAGCCATGACAGTTGAATGGGACCTCTGGATTAAGAGGCAGAATTGTTGGATACTGGGGAGCAGTCAGCAAATGAGGGTCTGCAGGCTCTCTGGGTGGGTTTCCTTGTGGCATCTTATTGGCCACCATGGTGAGCTAGGTGAACCATTCGTCTGATACAGAATGGCTACTCTTACGGAGCATACTCCAAATCTCCTATTCACATTTAAGAGATTGGTACTTTTGCATATACTCTGGGCGATTATGTGAAACATCATGTGTGATGTGAAGATTCTTCTTGTAGCTCCTGGGCACACGTTAACTAGGGTCTTTTCCACATTTGCCTGCCACTCTGGATTTTCTCAGTGTTTAAGTTGAGGAATTTAAGCCCACGGCAACACAGCATGCAAATAACCTGGGGGAACAGCAGGCTGAAACCAGGCTGACACCTGAAGGAAGGCAATGTAATGCAGAATGGGGGGGGAAACTGGATCAAAAAGATGGCTGAATTTGATTTTAGTGCAGAATTGCTTGGAGGACATGCATCTCTCTTCGACACATTGCAGTCTCTCTTTCACTCTATAGGGAGTATGGCGGAACAAGAGTAACCCATCTTCCTTGAAGTATGGCCCCGTTCACACGGAGCATTTGCTGTGCTGAAGGTACGATAGTCCCGTGGATATTCCGGGTGTGATCACACCGGAACATCTGGGAGGCGTAGTGCACCCGTGGCGAACCCGTGGCGTCCCGCCGAAGATGCGCATGAAAAAAGTACCTGGGATGACTTACTGGCAAATGGTTTGCCACGGGCTGCATGCGGACTCCCTTGGTGTGATTGCGCCGGCACGCGGCTTTCTCCCCCGTCCTCTTCGCCGCGGAGAAGCCGCTGTCGCGTCTGATCACATAATGGCGCATCAGAATGTGATGGCGCAAATAGCCACGCTTCCCCCCCGCGCGTGCACATTTTCCGGCACATCTGATGGGGGTCCACGTAGAGTATCCTTGAGTCAGAGGCCCAAGAAAGTAATCTGTGGGCAGTCTTATAATGAGCTGGGGCTGAATCAGTTACTCTTTTCTGTGGGATCAGTACTATTTTATCTTTCAGGTTGTTTCTAGGTGTTGGGAAGGAGGAAAAACATCCACATGCAGTGGCCAAGCAGGCTGGGAGGGGCCGTTTCAGTGCTATGCTGGCTTCTCAGAACTTCCTTGAATGTCAGATTTAGCAAGGCTCTGGCTACAATTGCCACTTTTCTTTCTGGGAAGCTGCCTGTGTTAGCAGCTGCAGGACAGGGCAAAACCCGACAGGTGCAGTTCTTCCTGTGTTGGATATTGTTGATGAGGAAAGTGTCACCTGTTGAATTTCTGCCCATCTTGCAGCTATCCCTGTCAGAGAAGTAAAGGTTGGCAGCCCTAGTGCTAGTTCTCTCTCGTAAGGCTTTTGGGTAGCAGTGAGTGGGGAACAGCCCAATGTGGTTGTGGCCACTTCTGTAGAAAAAGGGGCTGAGGCAATTCTTGAGGGATGGATACTTTGTTTGCTTTGTGTGTGTCCCCAGCAAGATCCATAGTAGACAAGAGTTGTTGGTATCTTCTCCGGTGCATGTTGAGCACAAGAGTAGTTAGTATCTTCTCCAGTGCATGGTGAGCACAAAGCAGCCAAGTTTGCTTTGTGTGTGTCCCCAGCAAGATCTATAGTAGACAAGAGTTGTTGGTATTTTCTCCGGTGCATGCTGAGCACAAGAGTAGTTAGTATCTTCTCCGGTGCATGCTGAGCACAAAGCAGCCAGGGCTCAGATCAGCTGAGTTTTATAATATCTCCAGTAACTCTGTGTTCCTTCCCTTGGGGGGAGTCCATGTTGTTTACCTTGCTTTATTTTTAGGAGTTTTGAGGTCAGGCTTGTAAATTCCAGTGCTTTGAGTTACAGCAGAAGGAAACATGGGCAGTCGCCTCCGCAGTTTTAACAGCTTGTTTGGCCCAATCCTGTGTGGCAGAAGGTAGCTGGATCAACCCCTGGATTCCTGTGCCGTTTCAGAGAATCCATTGCATGGCAGATCTTGCCAACAGGAAACAGAGGGCTCTAGAGGTGATGTTTATTGATTTCTTCTGCAACGCTCCCTGTGTCTTGCATGGGATCTAGGAGTGGCTGTGTTATTGCAGCAGCAGGAAGGAAAGGTCTGCTCTGCAGGCAGTTGCCCTCATTAAAAAAAGAAATAATGAAGGCTTGAGAGCTGAAAGCCAGTCACCATTATCAAATGGCCTCTGAGCAGTTTCTCATGCGATCGTGTCCCTGCAGCTCGGTCCTAGGGGGTCTGGCTGATCCATCTATGATGTTTGCCTTCAGCCTCTGTGGGTGCAAACAGGAGAGAGAGTGTCTTTGCCAGGTTCCTTTCATGGAACAAAGGATACCTTATTCCTCTTACAGTCTCTCTGGAAACAGGCTAAGGTGCTCGTTTCTGAGCTGAAGCTGGTTGTTGTCTCCAGGTCAGAAGGCAGGACAGGACTTCTGGCCCACCTGATTTAGGCTATGGCATGAAAGAATAACCCTTTTTAGTGTGTTTGTCGTTTTGAGCTGCTTTATAGTGAGCCAGGATAATTTAGTGCAGCACCCTGACTGGATGACTATCTCCTTGGGCTTGAGCAGAAGTCTTTTCCCCAGACTACGTAATAGCCTTCTAACTGGACAAGCAGGAAGATGAAACCTGGGCCTTTTGTGTGCAAAACCTGTGCTCTACCACAATGGCCAGTCCCTTTTCCCTCCAGTTAGGACACTCTGCTGGTATTTGGGAGGGCCTGAATCTGTTCCTGACCCTACTAGAAACAACCTGTTAAACTGGGCGTGTATTTTTATCTCTGTGTACTGGAGTCTTCCCATCTGTAAAGTAAAGAGATACTGCTGGAAAATGTTATCATGCCATGTCAAGCATGCTTGAAGAAACTGCATAAATGGGAGTAACAATGACTTCTCACACGGCTGGAACATGCACAGTACAGAAATTAAAGAATTGCATGGTGTGTTTATTGAGGGGATCAGTGTTTTGATGTAGAAGAGCTGTCTTGAAGTTCTTGTTGTATTAGCAAAATGGTGGCTTACAAATCCGACAGAGAACAAAAGCTGTGTGACTCACTGGTTTTATCTCTGATTCTGAACCTGCTGTAATGGCAGAAGGAAGAGGATTTTAAGGTAGTTCTGAAGCATTTGCAAGTGAGCAGAAATGGGAACCTACAGCAAAGAAGGACAGCTGGTGTTTTGACGGGGAGGGGCACAGCTGATCTTTGAGTTGGATCTTGGGGACTGAGCGAATAGCTCAAGCAGGATCAGTTAGTAGCATTTGAACTAGGGAGCAGCTTCCTCTTCTTTTCAGTGTAGACTTTGATCGTAACTGGTAAATTTTCCCAATTTATGAACACGTGGCCCAGCTAGTGGAATAAAACCCAGAGAGTTGCCCATTTGTTGTAAAAAAATACCGATTATCAGACATTTTATATAAAGTTGTATCATTGCTGTAGGAGTCTCAGTTGCCTTGCTTCTAGTTCATTGTGTGTGTGTGTGTAGCATCTTTGCTATGGTAGTGTTCTGAACCAGCCCGAATCCTAGTGACTTCATATTTTGCAGCACTTAAAGATAGGAATGTTGTTTGGAAAGCCTTCTGAGGAAGAAAGCGCACAATCAGATTCTGCTTTCAAGGGTTCTGAGCCTGGGGGATGGACAGGGAGTGCATGTTGACCGTTTTCATGTGCAGCACTGATTTCTCCAACACCTTAAATTTGAATGCTTGGGATTCCTGCATGTCTGTTTGAAATAAAAGAACAGATGAGCATAGAAGACTTTACTGACTGGCTTACATATTGTGGTAGAAGCTTTATTTATATGTGACGTTTACATTCCCTGTTCTTCATTCAAGGCTGCTTTCATGAAACAGCACTGCTTTAAAATGGTAACAAAATGAGGTTCTATAAGTCATTGCTGTTTCCACCCATTGTCCATTTCCATCAAGTATGTAAGTGTCTTGCAACAGTTGAATGGAATTACAGGTTTGTGCTAATTGGCAAAGAGGTTTGGAGATGACCGTAGGCATACAAGGCTGTGCTTTAAGCAGATCTCATTTCTCATCCTGGGGAATAACAATTAAGCTTGCATTTGGTAGCTTTCTCTTGCCTTATGGCTGCCATCTTATGTTTCCACAGAGATCCACGGAGGACCACGGACCCGCCAACTGCAGCCTGCACGTTCCCTCCCAGGGCCTCCCCACTGCCTGAAGCATTTTCCTGTTGACTTGCGTACCTCCATGGATGGCAAGTACAAGGAGATTGCCGAGGTAGCCTTTCATCTTCTGTGTTGTTGCTTTCAATTCATAATAACTTTCAAATAAGGCCTGTGAGGGCCCAGACCTCTTTTTTCAGTTGCTTTCTTTGATGCTTTACAATAACAATCTTGCCAGGTTGAAACCTGTTCTTAGGGAAGCTTGGAGAAATACATGTGATCCTTTGGCATTATCATTGCCACCATCATAGAAGGTGCTTGGAGTAATTTCTCACTTAGACATGCATGTAGTTTGTGGTTCTGTAGAAGACTGGGCTGCCAGCATGTTAATTCCACCCCAAAGCAAAAAGTGTAGTGTTCTGCTACCACCGTAATTCCATAGGCTGCCGATTTGTGCAATGGTTGTAAAGCCAGGCTAAGGTAAGAATTCCTTGCAGTAACCCCATATCCGGTCATGTATTGCTCACTAGTGTCATGTTCTCTGGCAAATTTTCTAACACAGTTCTGCAGTGAGCAAGAATTGCAACTTGGCTTAGTTTATAGTGGCCATTTCCACAATGAGGCCCTGGACCACTTGCCACAAACTCATATTAGCCCAAACCTGGCCTGGAAGCCTAGCTGTGTCTGGCTAGTGAGTGCAGAGTTTTACGCAGGACTGTTTGAATCATTTTGGAAGTGTGGAATCACCAGACTGTGTGATTAGTGAACTCTGCTGTCATTGTTAGAGACCTGAGAAGACAAGGAAAGCCCCAGTCCATTTCAGTCATCTCAGGTAGTAGATGAATAATCTTTCAGGGAGAATGATTACAGGGAGGACTTTGGCCTGACCTTATTTTCATCAGTTTTTGAAAGCTTGATGTATTTGCCATTTAGTAAGACCCAAAGGGGTCCACGTTTTCTACCCAGCAATATTTTGTTCATTACCAAGTGGTCATGATCTGCTACACCATTAATGCCAATGCTGTGGCCATTTTGACAGATGTAAAAGAAATGATTCCACTGTAATTGCTGGTGTGAAAATTTGGCTTTCAGCCTTTAGTTACTTTTCAGCAGTGAGTGCAACTCACCACAGGCACGTTTTCAAGAATTGGGTCCCAAGTGAATTAATTGAAAATGCATTTGACTGACTGGCGGGTTAAGTAATTGAATTGATTGTCTTATTCACTGGGGGAAAATCCTTTCAGAGCAAGCCTGACTTAGCATTTCCTAGCCCTTATCTTTTTTGCGGCACACTGCTTGCTATTTGTGCCTCAGTGCTGATTAATTGCAGAAATGATGCATGCATAGCAAATAAAGTCTCCTGCATGCAGTCAATTAGTGCTTTTCAGGCTTTGGTTAGTATTAAGGTTTGATGTGGGGCTGAAAGCAACTACACCTGTGTTGTCTGAATAGCTTTGAAGCTGGGATAAAATGGTCTTTCTTACACCTATTCTTAATGGCTGGAGCAGGCTCTTCATGCATGGTGTGAATGTGCTTTATTATGTTTCTTATATAATGTTGGCTCAACCATTTCCCCCCTTCCTGGATTGTGAAGTTGGTTGTCAACTTTTTGAAAGATGTTTACATTGTGGTTTATATGGTGGTTTAAATAAATGTACATGTCATAAACATTGTCTTTCACCTCTCTTCCTTCTGAATTAACAAGTATTTTTAAAGCAGTTAAGAAACTTTTACAGGGATACGTGGGATTAATGACAGTATAAGAGCTAGCCAATAGTCACGTCAAATTTTCTCCATTCAAACTCATCCGTACCCAAAACCCATAAAACTGTATTTTTTTCAGAGTTTTATCTTTGGTATTAATATGTACATGCATTCTCAAGGCATCAAATATCTTTTCTAGCAAACGGTCAAAATGAAAATATTGTTTGTCTTCGCCTAGTTTTGGGTGGGCTCATTTGCTGTTTGAAGACTGATAGAAATATCACACTTCTGTCTTCAAAGAATCATCAGCTGAGATCCTCTTCACAAATTTGGGTGACTTAAACAGATTTCATGCTTCAGACCTCTTCATCCATTAAATCATACCTGCTGGCAGAAGAATGTTGTGGGTCCCCCCCCCCCATACACTTTTATTTCAGTTCAGTTTATTCAAGGAAAATGTCCAAAAAGCCCATTGGCTATTGGACTCTCAAAATGTAGCCATTGAGTTAAAACTGTATATGCATTTAAAGTTTTAAAATGAGAAAGGAATTGGTCCTAAACAGGAAAAACTGAAGAAAGAAGAAGAATGGTGGTGATTGGGAAAGGATTAGAATCTGCCTGCTCTAGTTTCCATCTGCTAAACTGTCATGTTGGGCATAAGACTAAACCTCCCAGCACCTTTCTGATGAATGTTTGTGGATTATTTATTTATTTTTTCCATTAGATTTCTTGTCCGCCCTTCCCCGCTTACACGGGGCTCAGGGTGGTTTACAACAAAATCAAAATATTTCAATACATTATAAAACCAATTCAAACCACAAGAATTCAATATTAAAAGCATAAATATTTAAAATTTTTAAGAACAAGATGGCATATCTAGCATTCAGGGTTGTTTTTTTTTTTTTTTTGGGGGGGGGGTGCCAGGCAGATGTAAGGAGCCGTCGCTGGCCTCAACCAAAAACCTGGTCGAATATCTCTGCCTTACATGCCCTGCAAAACTTCAGTAGATCAAACAGGGCATGGATGTCATTTGGCAGAGAGTTCCACCAGGCTGGGGCCAAGGCCAAAAAGGCCCTGGCCCTGGTTGAGGCCAGCCGGATAACTTTGGGGCCAGGAACCAGATTGGAGTAGGTCCGTTGCCGATGTTTCATCCAGGAAACTCTGGAGCTGCTCAGCAACCACTCTTTCAATTTACTTTACTCAGAAATGAAAGATTCGACACTGGGTGGTAATTGGCTGGGTCAGTAAGAACATAAGAGATGCCAATGTTGGATCAGGCCAAAGGCCCATCCAGTCCAACACTCTGTGTCACACAGCGGCCAGAAATACCAGTGCCATCAGGAGGTCCACCAGTGGGGCCAGGACATTAGAAGCCCTCCCCCTGTTGGCCCCCCCAAGCACCAAGAAGACAGAGCATCCCTTGCCCCAGAGCCCCTAGCTATACCTTGTGGCTAATATCCACTGACGGACCTCTGCTCCATATGCTTATCTAATTCCCTTTTGAAGCCGTCCATGCTTGTAGCCGCCACCACCTCCTGTGGCAGTGAATTCCATGTGTTAATCACTCTATGGGTGAAGAAGGACTTCCTTTTATCCATTCTAATCCGACCGCTCAGCAATTTCATGGAGTGCCCACGAGTTCTTGTATTGTGAGAAAGGGAGAAAAGTACCTCTTTCTCTACCTGCTCTTTCCCATGCATAATCTTATAAACCTCAATCATGTCACCCCTCAGTCGTCGTTTCTCCAAGCTAAAGAGGATCCAGAGTTGGCTTTTTCAGGAGCGGAACAACCACAGCCTCCTTCAGCCCCTCTGGATAGACTCCTGAGTCCAGGGACAGATTAATAGTGTCCACCAGGGGCCCCCATATACCATTGCCACCAGCCTTCCCAGCCACAAAGGACATGCTCTAGAAGGCATGTGGTTGGCCTAACAGGAATTCTGGCCTGGTGGGAGGTCTGACCTCCATAGGAGGGAGTTGAGCTGTGTAATAGTTTAGGAGCGGTAGTTTCTTAATGTTGATACATTAATGTGTCAGAAACATGTTCGAAGGAGCAGTGGTGGGGAGGGCCCTGAGTCTATAAATCATTAATGCATTGTCCGATGACCTGGGCAGTGAGAAACCAGAAGCAGTGACATTTCTTCAACAGCAGGGAGATTCACCCAACAGCTGTTATGAACCGCTTCTGTTGTGACCTTTCCCACTAGGCCACTAAGGGCTCTCACTGATGCTTAAGACAAGGTTCCAAGTGGCAATAGTTTACTTCAGGAGTAGCTTGAGCAGGCACCTTGTACATCTGATTGTGCTGTTTACCAGGCGTTTGCTGTGTGGTAGGTTTATCTCACTGACACCCCCCCCCCCCCGGTGCTGTTGTGCCCACAGGAGCTGTTTTGCCGCTCGTTGGCTGACAGTGAAATGCGCAGTGCCCCCTATGAGTTCCCTGAAGACAGCCCCATTGAACAGCTGGAGGAGAGACGTCAGCGGCTGGAACGGCAAATCAGTCAGGATGTGAAGTAAGTTGCTGCCCTTCTCTGTCTTTCCTGTGATCTTTCTGGCTCCTTTGGCACTCCTGTGAATAGGAGGGAGCATTTCTAGGGAGTCTGAGGATAAAGGTGACCAGACGAATAAGATCCTGGGATAAATGGCAAGAAACCCAATGGAAGTCCTCTTTAGCCACTACCCAGAGCTATAACTCAGGAAAAGGGTTGAAGAAAGAGTTACTGGAGCTCCAATGGTTTCCTTACACCGCAATATTTTGTGGTAAAAGTAGCAGCCAGTGCGAGATCCAGTTGGCAGGTTAAGCTAGGAGCTTCACATGTGCTACTGGCTGGGATGTCTGTGTGCCACAAGCATGGCTGTGTGTATGTATGTGTGGCTGGCAGTTTTACACTGTGCTTGTCCTACACACAGTCTGTCTTGGGTTTCCTGGACTTCTCACAGGTGGGTTTGCTTTGCAGCAAGTGGAGGGCTACCTTACCAGCAGGCAAAGAGGACGTTTTATCCCACGCCATCTGGCCCTGGTTTAACCACTAGAGTTGGGAACTGCCTGGAGAAAAGAATTTTCTGTACCTCTAATAGAAGTTTAATGAGATGTTGTTTACCAGGTGATGTTATTTACATCCATGCAATGAAAAATGTCAGCTGCTCATTTTTGTACATTATTTCTCTATTAAAGGGATGGGATATTTTCTCCAGGCTTAGTGGCGACCTACTTTCCACATTCCTTTCAAGAGGAAAATTGGGATGGTTTGGCTTTTGGGAATGTTCTGCAAGTTATCCTTGCTTTCCCTGAATCCCTGTGCACGCTGATTCCTTTCTTTGTTTCCTGGTTCATGGTCATCATTGTTTGCCATGGCATCCAGATCAGGAAGGCTGTGGGCACTGCTAAATGTAGTGTTCCTCCAAACTAGAATCAGGAAACCATGCAAAATCAGTAGCAAGAGTTTGTTGCATTTGGATGTTATGGCAGACCATGGTTACTACAGGCTCAGAAACAGATGAGGGAATCAGTATGTGCATGACAGCAGTGTTCCTGGTAGCCAAGCCATTGTTGGTCTGTGATGTAAAAACCAGGCCACTTCCGTTCATTTTCTTTGGATCCCGTTGCTGGTGAATTTTGCTGTATAGTGTCTGCCATTTCTGGTGTTGGTTTCTGCATTAATGCTAGTGTTTTCTCTTCTCCTCCTTTTCTTCCACTACTTCCTCACCTGTCTCTCTCCATTTCTCTGTTTGTCCTTATCTCGGCGTTGGCCTCCACTACCCATTTGTCCTCAGACTAGAGCCCGACATTTTACTCAGAGCCAAACAGGACTTCCTGAAAATTGACAGTGCTGCTGACTTACAGTGAGTGCCCAGCATTAACTCTCTATGCCCTTGACTCAGGGGTGGGCATGGGAGCACCATGCAGGCTGAATCCTCTATCCTGTCCCTCTCTTGGCTGACATGAAGTGAGTGACTCTCTTGCTAAGTTCTGTCCACCTCCATAAGGCACATCCCCACTTGCAATTGTATAAATTCTGGGCTGTTTAAATAATTAGTTCAGAAAAATCCTAATCTGCAGAAAGCAATAGTATTGGAAGCACCCCAAACCTGTCAGGAAACAGGCTCGCAATTAGGCATCAAGGTGGAAGGGGAAAAAGTCCTCTGTAAGGGAAGTAAACTGCTGGCTTGGGGTGGGGGTTGCAAACCATTCTGGTGTATGTCAGAGTTGGGATTGGGAACTTCACTGCCTACATTCTCAGAACCCTGATAACTAGTCCAGACATTCAATTCTTGTGCCCTCCCCTGGGCTTAGAGTGACCCAACACTGGTGAGTGGTGAATTCCTCACTTTACACTGCTGGTCACCTTCCATTGGTCTTTTGCTGTGAGCTCCGTTTCCCTCCTGTCCTCCCCCCCCCTTTCATGGTAGACAAAGTGGATGGAGCCAGCCTCTTGTCTGTGTGTTTATAACCCCCCCCCTTCCCGGTGCATTGGCTGACTAGCCATTTAGATCCTTATGTGCCAACTGCTCAGCCAGTCAGGATCCTTATCAGGGATCACTTGTTAGAGATCACTTAAAGACCAGCTCCTTCTGACTCTGTCCATTTTTTCCAGCATAGAAATGGGGCAAAATGTCCCCTCCTAAGAGTGTTCCTGACCCCCATCAGGGAAATCTCTCTACTAGGTACACTCCTTGTCAGGGCTTTTTTTTTAAAAAAAAAGAGGTGCTGGAACTCTCAAGAGGGGAAAAAAGTTTTCAATCTGTATACTGAAAACTTATGAACTTTTAACCATTTTAAAAAGAATTTTGTCAAAGAGGTTCTGGAACTCTGTTCTGGAGTGTTCCTCCAGAGAGAGAGAAAAAGCCCTACTCCTTGTGATGGTGCTCATGGACCAGCAAATACCAGTTACTTTTTTATCTCTCCCCCTCCCATAGCTCAGGGTTGCTGCTGTCAAGGGGTCTGAAAGTCCGTGTTGCACGTGTTTGTGTGCGGTACGTCCTGCTTTGATGTCTTCACATGCCTGTTTGAAAAGGAGGCTCCAGTAGCAGGGCAGGATACAGGCAGAGTCCAATCCATCACTTACTGTTGTTTCTTCACCTCTTTCCTTTTTTCTTCTGTCACAGGTTGTTTAAGGAACAGGGTGAGGACCTTGTGGACCATCTTCCTAAAGATCGAGATGTGCTTCTAGAGAGAGAGTTTCAGAGGGTCACCATCTCTGGCGAAGAGACATGTGGGGTAAGGTTGCCTGAGGCAGGACGGAATGGAAATTAGGATTTATTCAAAGCAGGACACAATGGAGGTAGGATTTACTCCTGCTGTTCCATACTTTTCCCTCAGACTTCAGAGCGTACTGATTTCTGCTGATAAGACTGTGTTAGGTGGTGTCTGGGTAGGAAATGATGACACTATATCCACCACCACCCCGATCTTTCCACTGAATTACCAGCAGTGGCTATCCAGGGTCTCAGACAAAGGTCCTTCACATCATCTTCTACCTGATCCTTTTAACTGGAGATGGCAGTGATTGAACCTATGACCTTCTGCATGCAAAGTGAATGGTCTTAACACTGAGCCATGGCCCCACCCCAGTTTGGTTATGTAAGAGGATCAGACGTATTGAAAATGGAATGTGTGCAGTTATAGCTCCTCCCATATTGTGCCATGCAAACTGTTCTCATTTTAGTCACTGCTCCTTCATGTGCTATGGCCAACCTCAATAGACTTCCCATTTGGGTGATAATTATGGCTCACTGAACTTGATGGTGGCATAACAGTGAGGAAGCCAATACCTGACATGTCATTGTTGACTTTTATGAACTGTGAGGGTAACAGTGGTTACCTTAAAACGTCAGAGAAAATTACACTAAATACAATCTATATGAAAATTACAGCATGTGCTAGTGCAGTCAGGTATTTTCACCCTCAATGTAGGG